CATGCTATAGCGAAAGTTTGAAGTGTCTGAGAGCGCTGGGAGGGTGTGGCTGAGAGTTACTGTTGGGCTGTAGGGCTATGTGGAAGCAGAGAAAGGGCAGAGAGAATCTCAGGGTGATGGTCAGAGAAGAAGCAAGCTGAAAGTCTGGAGGCCTGGGTTCCAGTCCCAATTCAGATGACAGCTCACTGGTGTCCTTGGTTAAGTCATCTACCCGTCCTGTGCCAAGATCCCCTCTGGCTTCTAGCGTTATGTTTAGAATCAGATCATGTTAGGTCCATTTTACACATGAGAAAACTGAGGCTCAGAAAACAAGATCACACAATTGGTATAGTAGAGCAACTTAGCTCAAAGCACAAGCCGGGCAAGACCAAGCCTTGAGGCTGCAGGCACATGCTGTGGTGCCTATGGATGGCTGCTGATGGTTGCAGTGCTGATCTAATCGACTGGGGTAGGATAATGGAAATGGCCTTCTTGCCAAGAGCCCAAGGACAGGCCAGAATTGGACTTCCCTTCTCCATAGTCTTCTCTTTCACTCCTCCAGACCCAACTCTCTTTTCCTGGTCCACCCTAGCTCTAGCCCTTTTGGCTCTAGCCAAGTGTCAGCCTTTCCCTTCTGAGCCCTGAAATGAGCCTTTGGGATTCTAAGGGCACAGAACTGGGCTGACCTGAGGCAGGCCTCCTGCCAGAGATCACCCAGCTCCCCACACCTCCACCACCAATCAGGAAGTAGAGATCAGCCAGTCACCATGAGTAAGACAGGGAAGGGAAATAATTTGCTCTCATTCAAAAGACCAAAGCTCAGACAGGAATTTACACCTGTCTGTCCTTCTTGGACTTTCTGATGGGCAAGGGGTTGGGATTTGAGTTTGGGCTTCAGCTGTGCTCAGAACAGCCCTGGAAAGAGATCATCACACCTTGTTTTACAAATAAGGAAATGGCATTCCCACTTCCTTCAGCAGCTTTGATCCCCTCAGGCCCACCAGGCAGGACTGGCCCAGCTGCCTTGAGCTTTGTTCCTGGACTACAGGAGTCACAGAAAAATCC